CCGAAGCCTCGTGGCTTTTTCTCCTTCCCCCCCCCGGCTCCGAAGTGAGGGGGCCCCCCTCCAGGCTCACCACTTACCTTCCAAGCGGCGTCGGCGGCAGCGTCGGTCGCAGAGCGTTCCCTGCACATGCGCAGGGGACGCTCTGTGAGTTTCGGGGGGATTTAAACATCCCCCTGATGTTTTTTTTCCAGATTTAGGATTTTTGTGCACACGTCGGGACCGCCCCACGTGCGCACAAACCTCTCCCTCCCCCCCAGGTCCCCCCGATGTGCGGATTTAAGCATCCGCACACCAGGGGGCAACTTGAGAATTAGATATATAGATGAAGTCCCGTCAAGCAGCAACCAACTTTTAGGGCTACCCTAAATGGGGTTTCAAGGCACGAGACGTTTCGAGGCGGTTCGCCATCGCCTGCCCGACTCTGGACCTCCCCAGTGGTCTCCCATCCAAATACTGAGCGACGCAGACCCCGCTTAGCTTCAGAGCCAACGAGACCAGGGTAGCCGGGGCCGCCCAGTTGAGGGCTGGTTCCTACAAGGCACCTTGATACGTCCACCGGAGGGAGGTCAAACGGAATTAATAGAACTGTAAAGGTAAAGATAAAGGTTCCCTTGCTTGAAAGCCAGTTGAGTCCGACTCTAGGGTTGCGGTGCTCATCTCCGTTTCCAAGCCGAAGAGCCAGCGCTGTCCGAAGACGTTTCCATGCTCATGGGGCCGGCATGACTAAACGCCGAGGCGCGCGGAACACTGTTACCTTCCCACCGAAGTGGTCCCTATTTATCTACTTGCAATTTCTTGCTTTCCAACTGCTAGGTTGGCAGGAGCTGGAACTAGAGACGGGAGCTCACGCCGTCACGCGGCAACTCGGGTCTCGAACTGCTGAACTACTGACCTTCCACAGCCTGCAGTTCAGCATCTTAACCACTTAAGCCACCACACCTCCTAATAGAACTGACTTCCAGGTAAATGTGCAGAGGTTCGTGTCGCCTGCAATAAAGGGTCCCAGATTAATTGTCGCTCGAGTTTAGCTAGGTAAAGGTTTCCCTCGCGCGAAAGCCAGTCGAATCTGACTCTAGGGTTTATTTATTTATTTATTTATTTATTTATTTGTTAGATTTATACCCCGCCCTCCCCAGCAGGCTCAGGGCGGCTACAACAAAGGCAATTGCCATAACAACAGTTAAAACATCATAAAACAATCATTACACAATAAAAAAAATCATTTGCGGTGCTCATCTCCGTTTCCAAGCCGAAGAGCCAGCGCTGTCCGAAGACATTTCCGTGGTCATGTGGCCGGCATGACTAGACGCCGAGGCGCACGGAACGCTGTTGCCTTCCCACTGAAGCGGTACCTCTTTATCTACTTGCAATTTCTTGCTTTCGAACTGCTAGGTTGGCAGGAGGGAGTTTAGCTAAGGCGCCCATAAAGTGGTTTTAGGGTGGGGCCTTCTTATTGGAGATCTGATTGGCTGCGTGTATTTTAAAAAAAATGTTGCTTCGGGGGCCGCTGCCACCACGACGCAAGGTTCTGCACTGCGGGACTGAAGTTACACTGTACAAATAGGGAACACGGTAACAAGTTTGGGAAGAAAAAGAAACTCTGCCATGTATAGAGCTATATATTACAATGAATACACTCATATGAAAACTCTTAAGTGTATTTTATCGTGTTGGATATAAATAGAATAAATAACAAAGGTTTTTTTCTATAGTATGGAAAAAACCTTTCCGTAAGCTATGAAATACTCTCCAAGTTTGTATCCTGTACTCAAGGAAGTTCACTGAATCTCATCTGTATTAGGGTGATGGGGCATATGATGAATAAGGGTCCATACCCAAACAGACTATCGATAAAGGGCCATTTGGATCCAAACAATACAATCTTGGAGAGTATTCCATACCTTACGGAAAGGTTTTTTCTACTATAGGATTTCTTTGCGTTTCCTACGTTTGGAATGGACACTTTTGAGATCTAATTTATCTGTATTTGTATAAGAACCTCTGTTATTTCTTAATTATATTTGCATTCCACACGATAAAATACACTTTAAGAGTTTTCTTTTACGAGTAGATTCATTATAATATGCTGTACAGCTTCTTTTTCTCCTGAAGGTAAACTCTGGCAATCAATGCCCCCTCTAAGCTGTGGAGTCTTGTGAGCTTACTTTGTGAGCGCCTGGCATTAAAGTCGTGAGCGAGCGATTTGGCAACTGCACGCATTCGTTTGCTCTGGAGCCCTCCTTCCTGGGCGAAGACAAAAATGTGTGAGCCGGAGGCTGAAAAACTGTGAGCTGGCTCACACTCACTCAGCTTAGAGGGAACACTGGTGGCAATCATTCTGTGGCTGGCTCCGCCTCCTGAGGCAGCCATCTTGCGGCTGCGCCCAGCATGCCGTGTCAGAATTTCAAATGTGTCCGGCGGCTCAAAAAGTTTTGGGAGGGGAGACCCTTAAGCTAAGCTAAGCAACAATCATCTGTTTAAGAGACGACGACGGCTGTTTTTACCGCCGGTGACCAGCAGAGGGAGCCTCTGCGCCCCGTCCCACTCGGCTCAGGCGCGCTCCGCACGCGTGGGAATTCCGCTTTTCCCGGCACCAATTCCACCACGCTGGCGACACGGGGATGCCAAGAGGCAAGCGTGCACACGCATTAGTCACCCGTGCAAAAAAGCTGGGGGGATGGGGAGGGACACACGACAATACCCTCTGCGGTGGCCCAAATAAGCCAGACTCTCGGGGCACCGTCAGGACAGCATTTTGGCGCAGCAGACTCGGTGAGATGCTCCGACACGGTTTTCACCGGACAGCCCGGTGACCTTGCGTAACGTGGGAACGGAGCGAGGATCGGCCCACGGCAGCGGGGGAAGCGGGCCGCAGCCCAGGAAGGGAGCCCAGTTGAGTAGCTTTCGAGATCTCACCAACCTCCAGTGTCCCCTCTAAGCTGAGTTAGTGTGAGCTATTTCAGGTTTTTTTTAGCCTCCGGCTCACACATATTTGCCTTAGCTCAGGAAGGACGGCTCCAGAGCAGACTAATATATGCAGTAGCCAAGTCGCCGGCTCCCAGCTTTAATGCCCCTAGCTCACGAAGTAGAATTTTTGCTCACGGGACACCACAGCTTAGAGGGAACATTGATTGGGGAGGAGTGTTCCCTCTAAGCTGAGTGAGTGTGAGTTAGCTCAGAGTCTTTTAGCCTCCGGCTCACACATTTCCGTCTTCGCGCAGGAAGGGGGGATCCGGCGGAGCCAAACTAACTGACGCAGTAGCCCAATCGCTGGCTCACAACTTTACAGCCGGTAGCTCACAAGGTAGAATTTTCGCTCACAAGACTCCACGGCTTAGAGGGAGCATTGGTTGCAAAGCGGGGGTGGGGGGGGGCTTTTGGGACGTCCCCGAGCGCGACCTCCCATGTCGAGGCGGCTGCGGAAGGGCGCCAGCTCGGGGAGGTCACGGAACGGGCCACCGAGCGCTCGGCGGTGGCCTGCCGGCGGAACGCGCGGCCACTGGAGGGAGGGCGGTTGGGGAGGCCGGGCGGAAAGGCGGCTCCCGTGGGAGAAGCTGCACTGCAGCGCCGCCTGCTGGCCGGGCCTCCGCCTGCTGATTCGCGGGGCGAAGAAGGGCTGGCCACTCCCCCGGCGTGCGGGAGGCCGGCCGGCCGGCCGGGGCTGGCGAGGAGAGAGGCAGGCAGTGGAGGGACCGAGCGGACGGGCGGGCGGCTGCTGCGGTGGCGGCGACTGCGGTCCTGGATGCGCCGCGAGGCCGGAGGCAGGGGCGCCTGGCTGGGCAGGTGGCCGGCCTCCCTCCCTGGGCGGCGGGCGAGACAATGAGGCTGGGAGCGGCGGGCTGGCTCGCTCCGCTCCTCCTCCTCCTGCTGCTGCACACGCGGCCCCAGGTGAGGCCCGGCGGGGTGCCTCTCCCTCGGCGGCTTGCCGGGGGCTTCGACGGGGCTGGAGGCCGGGGGACGCGCTCCAGGTCCCCCCCCCCAGGAGGGCTTGTTGGGGGGACCCGTGTTCCCTCTAAGCTGAGTGAGTGTGAGCCTAGCTCACAGTTCTTTAGCCTCCGGCTCACACATTTTTGTCTCCGCTCGGGAAGGGAGGGCTCCAGAGCCAACATGTATGCATTTGCCAAATGGCTCGCTCACCACTTTAATGCCCGTAGCTCACAAGGTAGAGTTTTTGCTCACACGAGTCCACAGCTTAGAGGGAGCATTGGGGGGGGGGACCATGCTAAGCAGCGCTTGTGCCCCCTCCCCCAACCGCATCTCCCACCCGGTGGTGGAAAAGTCGAGGACGCGTGTTCGGGCTGTCGTGTGAATGGCGCTCTGGGTGCCGAAGAGCCGGCTTGGGGGGGGGGAGGGTTGTTGTTCTGTGAGCGGTGCCGCTGCTGAGCCCCCGTGGGAGAAGAAGAGGAGAGCGGGAGGATTCGAGCCTGCGACCACCCTCTCCCCCCCCCCCCACAGCTCTGGTCCCGAGCGCGGGGGGGGATTGGGCCGGTTCTCTGGAACAAAGAACTCATTGCCCCCCCACCACACACACCCCCGAGGCAGCTGCGGGCAGGGAGTTCGCACAAGCGCCCCGCAGTTCCAGAGTCAGTTTCCCAGGAAGCCGGTTTGGGAAGCGTTGCCAGAGCCGGGACTCCTCAAGGGCAAGGTGTAAAGGCGGGCTGCCCAGCAGGCGGATTTGGAAAGACCCCGTGGGGGAGGCCGCGCCAGGGGATCCCCATCCAGCCGGGAGTTTCCCCCACACAGTAAGCCCCACCCCCCCCCCCCAGTGTCCCCTCTAAGCTGAGTGAGTGTGAGCAAGCTCATAGTTTTTTAACTTCCAGCTCACACTTTTTTTTGTCTTCGCCCAGGAAGGATGGGGCTCCAGAGCAAACCAATCAATGCCGTAGACAAATCGCTCGCTCACAACTTTCATGCCAGTCACTCACAAAGTAGAATTTTGGCTCACGGGACTCCACAGCTTAGAGGGAACATTGCCCCCCCCAATTTGGTGCAGAATTGTGGGGGCCCTGGCAGTGCACGGGAGCCGTGCCCCCTCGAATCCCCACCACTTCCCGGCCCTTTGTTTTCTTCTTGCCCAGAGTTTCCAGCTAGGATGTGGATTTCGTTGCGTTATTAAAAGTCTCCGGTTTCTATTGATCTCCCCCACACACACACACACACTGCCAAGTGTCGGTTTTGGACCACCCCAGGTTTGCAGAAGCGGGAGAGGGGCGGCCCGGCCAGGTGGGTGGTCCGGGGACCTCCTTGGACCCCGGGGACTTGGCAGTTGTGCCCTTGGAGCCTCAGGGGCGAGAACTCCCTGGGAACTGGCAAAAACTCGGCAGAAGGGCAGAGCAGGGGGTGAAATCCTGCATTAGACCATCCCAGCAACGCCCTGGGTCTCCTGGGGAAGGTGGGTTTTTCTGGGAGGGGGTAGGGTGGGGGTAGCCAAGCCGGCTTTCCCGAACAGGGAGGGAAGCGAGTGGGAAGGTGGTGAGAGAAATCAACCCCCCCCCCCCAGCTTACGTTATGCTTCTGTTGGCCTTGCGATTAGTGCAAGCCCTTTTGCAGCTGGTTAAAAAACTGCTGCGGTTTGGGCTGGATCCCCGGTCTGGTTAATCGCCAGCGGAGGCACATCTCTCTGCACGTGCCCAGAGGCACAGAAACACAGCCCACAAGTGGGGGAGGGGGACCAGGGTCACGCCTGCGCCTTCCGACTTCGAAGCCCTCCCCGCTGATGTCAGATGTGTGTCGGCTCCCGCGACTGGTGTGTGCCCTCTGCCCGGGCTCAGAGGCTCCCTTTACGGACTCGACGGGCGTCTCAGTCGTTTGAGCCCTGGTACACGGGACGGGTCGTGGGCCCAAGTGAATTCGGATCGGTTAGCTCACCGATAGCCAGACTCCGAGTATTTGGACTTCCTGGGAGTGTGGTCTTGGGTTCAAATCCAGACATGTCAGGGAGAAAGCGAGTAGAACCTTTACAATGGTATTTGTGTGTGTTTCCAGTGATCAGTTCTATTAGGGAGAGTGGGTCGGGCAGGGCTAGATCCTGGTATCTTGTTACTCCGAGACAGGTATTCCACCCTGTCCTTCTGGCGGGTGGGAGCGTGGGGAAAAGTCTGGTTTGGCGTTCACGGCACATCTCTCGGGCTCTGCGTCACCTCTGTCCGCCATGCCTCTGCAGGTCCTGGAAGCCGCCGGCACCTTTGAGCTGCAGATCCGTTTCGTCCGCAACGAAAAGGGGGTCCTGGCAGACGGGCGGTGTTGCCGGGGAGGGCTGGAGCCGCCATGCCCCAAGACGGATCCCTGCCGGACCTTTTTCCGGGCCTGCCTGAAGGAATACCAGCTGAGGGCGCTCCCTGGGGGACCCTGCGTGCTCGGCACCGCCACCACGCCCGTCCTGGGGGGCAACGTCTTCTCGACCGGTCACCGGAAAAACCTAGACTCGGCCCACAAGATGGTGGTTCGCTTTGATTTTGCCTGGCCGGTAAGACCCCCCCCCCCCGCATCTTCTCTTGGCAAGTGGGGAGTCAGCGACGGCAGCGGTTAGAGGGGCGGGGAGCCTCAAGCTTGCCTGGGAATTGCACCTTCTGCACATGCCCAGAGGCACAGGGAGGGGCCACAGCTTACTGGCCGAGTGAGCCAGAAGGTCATAGAGTCGGAAGGGATCTTGGAGTTCGTCAATGCTCCCTCTCAGCTGCGGAGTCTCGTGAGCAAACATTCAACTTGGTGAGCGACTGGCCTTAAAAGTGGTGAGCGAGCGATTTGGCTGCTGCATCATTCAGTTTGCTCTGGAGCCCTCCTTCCTGAGCTGAGACAAAAACGTGCAAGCCGGAGGCTCAAAAACTGAGAGCTAGCTCACACTAACTCAGCTTAGAGGGAACACCGGAGACCATCTCTTCCAACCTCCTGCTCTGTTCAGGAGCCCACAACTGCAGCAGGCCTTGGGGTGCCGAACCCGGTGGCACCTCCCATTAAAAGGCTGCGGGGTTCCTGGTGCCAGAAACCCTCTGCGAGTCAGAATAGACCAAGTGTAATGACTTCATGTTTTGGTGTGTGTTTCCTTAACTGTTTAGTTTGACTGCAGTACTGTAAGAAGAGTTATAGAGGGAGATAAGTGTGATGTGATTGGCTGATGACTGAGAGTGTGGGAGGAGAGGTGTCTATGAGAGTGATTCTGTGTGTGAAGTTTGAAGAGAGAGCATAGTCTGTGAGACTGTGGGAGATTTTGAGTCTATTCTGTGTGAATAAGACAAACAGTTTAGTCTGTGTGAATATGAGTTTATTCTGTGTGAATAAGACAGAGTTCAGCCTGTGTGGCTATATAGATGAGGGAGAGAGATATTAGACTGAGTGTCTACACCTGTCAGAGTGGAATTTTGGGAGTTTGAGAGACTGACACCAAGCTTTGCCAGTTATATCTACAAGTTCCTTTCATCAGCAACAGTTCAAAAATAACCAGAATCCTATTTTGTTCTTTATTAAATAAATCATTTTTTTTGTTTAAACTTATCCCAGAAATCAGAATAGTCTTTCCTCAGGGCCACATAGTCCTCTGAAGTGCCCTAGGTCATTCTACCAAAAGAGAGAGATTTGGAATTTTTAATTCCTATTGGCAGCAGAAATCTACCAAGTTTAGGTACACAGTGTTTTGAAGGTAAAACCGTCTCCCCAATAAGCGAGGACGCCACACCAAAGGTCCCCAATGGGGTGCCCGCGGGCACAGTGGTATCCACGGACACTTTTTCTGGGGCCTACCGAGTGCTGTTAGCGAGTGGGCGGGGCCGGGTGGGGTTTTTGCCCAGCAAGGTTTCTGATTGGCCACTGGGGATTTGTTTGGCTGTGCAGATTTTTTCAAAACATTGGCTTGGTGGCAGCTGCTCCCCGCAGCACAAGGGTCTTCATGGTGCCATTGGAGGTCAGCCGTGGCAGCTGTTTTGTGGCCCGCTGTGCTGTGACCGAATCCCAAAGTTGCCCATAGGCCAGTGGTCCCTCTCAGCTGAGTGAGTGTGAGCCGACTCACAGCTTTTTAGCCCTCCGGCTCACCCATTTTTGTCTTCGCTCAGGGAGGAGGGCTCCGGAGCGACCTAAGTTGCGCAGTAGCCGGATCGCTCGCTCACAACTTTAACGCCAGTAGCTCGCAAAGTAGAATCTTTGCTCGCCAGACTCCACTGCTTAGAGGGAACCTTGCCGTACGCTCAAAAAGATCCTCAGAACAGACCGAGGCTTCTCGCCCTGGGATCGATGGACTGAAACCGGCATGGCCGTCTGCGAGCTTCCCCCGTTTCACGGGAAGCTTCCTGACCAGTGCTCCCTCTCAGCTACGGAGTCCCGTGAGCAAAAAACCTACTTGGTGAGCTGCTGGCATTGAAGCGGTGAGCGAGGGATTCGGCCACCGCAGAAGTCAGTTCGCCCCGGAGCCCTCCTCCCTGAGCGGAGACACCAACGTGCGAGCCGGAGGCTAAAAGACTGTGAAGCTGGCTCACACGCACTCAGCTTAGAAGGAACACTGCTCCTGATGTCCTCTAGCAATTACAGAGGGAAAGCATAAGAAAATCCCATTTGAGGAACGTATATGTTCCTGCTGTAACAAAGGCATCGGAAATTTAGAACATATTTTCGACCGTAAGGCATATAATAATCTCCGTAAATCACTTCCACTCCCCAAGTCCTTACCTCTCATTAGTAGGCAAAGAGTTCATATTATGAAAAATCTTCTGGCGGACAGACACTCAGAGGTAACACTTCTAGTGGCTAGATATGGATGGCTAGCTTTAAGAATTAGAAAATCTATAATGTGGAGCTTTAAGAATTAGAAAATCTATAATAACACAGGAAGTCAAATGTCAATCACCTAACTGTCAACGGCCTGTTTCTTAAGAATTTTAAAATGCATTTTATTGCTGTTTTAAGCTTCTTTTACCTTTCTGCACGGGGGGTTCTTACTATTTATAATTTTTTATTCTCCTTTTATAAGTCCTTCAAAATGCCATCAGAACTGGGTGCCTTGTAAGTGAAGTGTGGCTTATTACTATTTGCTGTTATCAGTAGTACAGCTATTCCATTCAACTTGTACGTGTTCACATAGGAAATACCGTAGCGGCCGCAGAAGTATTTATGTTTAAATGCAAGTCATAAATTTAAATGTTCAGCTCAGATTTATTGAGACCGAGTAAATGATATATTCCATATAGTGTATATTTTAGTAGTATAGTCAAGGCAGATTTGTATTTTACCCTTAGCAATGTGTAAAACTATTTTTATCTGGTCTGTGACTGTTATAGGAGCTGCGGTGGCTCAAGTGGTTAAGACGCTGAACTGCAGGCTGTGGAAGGTCGGTAGTTCAGCAGTTCGAGACCCGAGTTGCCACATGACGGCGTGAGCTCCCGTCTCTAGTTCCAGCTCCTGCCAACCTAGCAGTTCGAAAGCAAGAAATTGCAAGTAGATCAATAGGTACCGCTTCGGTGGGAAGGGAACAGCGTTCTGTGCGCCTCGGTGTTTAGTCATGCCGGCCACATGACCACGGAGACGTCTTCGGACAGCGCTGGCTCTTCGGCTCGGAAACGGAGATGAGCACCGCAACCCTAGAGTCGGATTCGACTGGCTTTCGAGCAAGGGAACCTTTACCTTTACCTATGACTGTTATAATAAACTTCTGTTCTGTTCTGTTCGCTGATTCTTACACGGCGGCAGAGTGCCCGAGGAAGCTCGCGGGGAAACCTGAGAGGTCGTGTCCTCCTGCCCCAGATTACGATCCCCTTTATCTCCAAAGCCACCCGGTCTCCTTGTAGTGGGGGGGGGGGGTCGGTGTGAGGAAAGTGGTAGTCTGAAATCGAAGGCGGCTTTTTTCCTCCCCTCTGGAGAGGGCCTCAGGTGCTTCGGAGGGGGGGGGGCAGGGATGAGGCAGGAACCAGCTGGACTCTCCTTGCGTCCCCTTCCCCCTGGGGGGAGCCGGAGCAGGTGCTCCATCGCGCCCTGTCCATCAATCGGACTGCTTGCTAACCGACTGTTTAATGATTTATTGATCTCTGCCCCTTCAATCCAGGCATCCCCGCCTCCTGGGCCGGAGAGACAGAGGGGTGCGCGTGTGTGTGTCTTTCTCTCGTTCTAATTAATTAGAGGGGCTGTGGTAGCGTCCCAGTTGGGGGGGGTCTGCCTCCTCCGTTTCTCTCCCCCTCCCACGCTTTGCCCTCTTCTTTTCCCGTTCAGATTTCATAAGAACCCAGAGCGCAGAATGTGGATCCGCTCCGTCCCTCCGTAGCTGTAGCCGACTCGTCTCCTTTAAACCTCTCTCCCTTCCCTCCCCCCATCTCGTAATCCATGTGCACCGAACTTCCAAACAAGAGAAAAGCCAAGACTCCTACCGGGCGCGCTAGATAAGGAAGAAACACTTTGCTCGTGCTCAGGAGCACTCTCGTCGTTCGGTTTGATGCGTTCTGTCGTGGAGCTTTGTCCTGGAGGCTATTGACCTGGTACATCCTCACTCAGGCTAATTCCCCGGGTGATTGTTTGTTTTTGGGAGGGGGTGGGAACCGCGTCAACTGCCTTGGTTGTACCCAAGCACCTCTGTTGTGGGTCTTAAGCCCCCAAACTCCCTTGTCTCTGCTTCAGGGGGAAAAGGTTTCCAGCTGTGTCGTACAGCCTGTACTTTTTGTTTGCCAGCCTGGCAGAACCCGATCTCGCTTCCTGGTCCCGTGGGCACGATCGGCTGTGACGCTTCCCATCCTGGGGGTGCTTGGCTTTGAACAGGCACGCCCGGTAAACTTTCCGAGATTGGATCTCCCCAAACAGGCCCCGATAACTTGTCTGCTGAGATCTGCGTTAAGCTCGCCTGGGTTTTGCCTGCTTTGGAACCTGGGCCGGGCATGGATCAGTGACCCATTTCTCTGCCTCGCAGTCTGGAAAGTTCTCTGAGCCTGGCTGGCCCATGACTACCTTTCTTGTGAAGCACGCGTGGGGATCGGGACCAGTGTTCCCTCTAAGCTGTGTTAGTGTGAGCTAGCTCACAGTTTTTTAGCCTCCGGCTGACAGAATTTTGTCTCAGCTCAGGAAGGAGGGCTCCAGAGCAAACTAAGTGATGCAGCAGCCGAATCGCTCGCTCACAACTTTAATGCCAGGAGCTCACAAAGTAGAATTTCTTAAGAATTTTAAAATGCATTTTATTGCTGTTTTAAGCTTCTTTTACCTTTATGCATGGGGTTTCTTACCATTTATAATTTTTTATTCTCATTTTATAAGTCCTTCAAAATGCCATCCGAACCGGATGTCTAAGTGATGCACTAGCCAAATTGCTCACTCACAACTTCAATGCCAGGAGCTCACAAAGTAGAATTTTTGCTCACAAGACTCCACAGCTTAGAGGGAGCATTGATTGGGATCTATTATACCCAGCAGGAAGGGTTGCCTCAGTGCTTAGATCTCCTGGCCCTTTCTTACACACCCAGGGAAATGCCGATCACCACTTTGGGGTCAGGAAGCCATTTATCT